ATTTGTATATATATTCATATATGTATTCATATATATATATATATATATATATACACATATATAAATGATTGGATCAAAAGGCCAAAAATTCAGATTTTGTTAAACGAATGAAAGCATTTCTAAATGAGATCATTTATATTATCAATGTTTTTATCCTAATGGAGAAATTAATATTATAACAAGGTAAATGTTCATAAGTAAAAGTATGAGTTTGATTCTCTGGCCTGACACAAGCACAGCATTTAGTTGTGTTGAGACAAGATATCTTCCATAGGGCCTTAGAATGTGGTTTTACAGAAAACTCTGGGTTAGAAATTGGGAACTTGGAATCATTAAACATATATGGAATAAATGTATGAAAACAAAATATTCTTATGTGCAAAAGTAAGATTGTTAGTGATCATGGTTCCTCATTGGCGACATCTGCCTGAATCTACCTTCTGTGGCTTGTTGCTTTGCACAATGTTCTCTTTTAAATCCTTTAGGAAGAGCATACTGACATTTCACTGTGGGTTCCATCACATTCTCTAATCTCAAAAGCATTTGATTTCACACAATCGTTACTTGCGTAGTTTCAATGTAGATGAATTCCAAGTCTTTTTTTTTTCTTTTCCAAATATAGTATTGCTATGTAGTTCAGGTGTTCATAGACAAATTATGTAGCTCAGGCTAGCTTTGAACTCATGGCGATCTTCCTAACTCCCAAGTGCTAGGATTACATGAATGTGCCACTATGCCTGGTCCAAGACCTTTTTTTTTGACTTAAATAAAAATCGGCTACCTCTTCTTTGACAAAGGAGCTAACCATCCTCAGTGGAGGAAAGATAGCCTCTTCAATAAATTGTGTTGGAAAAACTGAATTTCAACCTGCCAAAGATTAAAACTAGACCCTTATCTTTCACCATGCACAAAACTAAAATCCAAAATGGATAAAATATCTAAATATTAAAACAGAAACTTGCTGGAAGACAAGTTAGGTAGAACTCTCAAAGACACTGGCATAGGAAAAGACTTTATGAACAAATCCCTAGTAGCATGGGAACTAGCACATAGAATCAACAACTGGGATCTCATCATATTTTTGTAATAGCTAATTCTTGAAACAGCCCAATTGCCTATCAATTGGAGACTGGATAAAGAAAATGTGGTTTTTCTATGTCATGGGAAAAAATAAGAACCAAGATCTGTCATGTAAAGGTACAAGATCCCAATGATGAATTTAACTTTACTGTATACCTCAAAAGTGCCAATAAACTCAATGAAAAAAGCAATTTTGTATCATTTTAATCAACAGCCAGCTGGCTGCACGTGTCATTGTGCATAAATAATAAAAGTCAGCGTCAGTTCCCTATGATACCACTTTATGGCTATCCGATGCATCTAAATATATTTCAAGTTTTCCAATTGCCAAGAAGATAAAATTATCCCTCAAACATGTTTAAAATTCATATAATATACCAATTTATAAAAACTCTTAACAAATGCATTAAGTACTTGACTAATCATCTAGGGAACACACATCTTCTTTCTCCAATCTAACTATGCTGGAATAAGAGCAATACTGTGATATGTGTCAGTGTCTGACAGTCTTAATCCATGAATAGAACTTTCTTCTCTTCAAGAGTTGTACCCATCATCTCTTTTTAATGATTGATTATTATTGGTTATCTGGGCCTATTAGCCCCTAACCCTAAGCCCAATCTCTTTTCCTGGCCTGTTACCTTCCTTACTGAATTTGCAGCTTCACGTTATGATGTTCTAGTCTTCTCTCTGACATGTTCTGGTCTGGTGCTTGGTAGTCTCGTTCTTTTTGTCTCATGTCCAGGAGGGAGAGATAGCCAGTCCCTCAGCTACTTTCTCATTCTCTCATCATTTTTCCTTTCTTTTGGCTCCTTTCCCTCTGCTAGGATCAAGGGTATCCTCCCTGGTGCTCCCTGGAGTTCGTTCCTTTCCTCTTGCACTGCTAATTTTGTCTACAGAGTCATCTGCACTAAAAGCCCCTTATAGGTGACTCAATCACTGATTCCCT